TGCAAACAAGTAATGAGCTGTATAATTTTATCAGTGAATCATATAATAAAACAATTATTGCTGTTTTTTCGGTCAGTACATTAAGCCATCTTCGAAGTACAATATTTACCGAGCCCGAAGGGCGATGTGAATATTGTACTTCGAAGATGGCTAAATCATTGTATTGACCGAAAAAAAACAGCAATAATTGTATAATTATTCATGTTTTTCATCGTAGTCATACATGTATGTGTAATGTGAAAATGTTTTTGTAGAACAATAAACAATTTTAATTTCTGTCTAAATTTTATTTCTGAATGTTATAAAATGCCTATGATAATGAAGTAAATAATGGTGGGGGTAATTTATGTAATGCTAAAATTTCAAATTCTCTAAGAGAGTACGATTTAATGCATTGTATCTACCTATTTCAACACAACAATGATATAGATATCAATTTATTTGAACCGGAGAGAACTAACGATTTCCTACTTGTCTTTCTGTCGACGTCTGCCTCGGACATAGCTTCTCTCTGTCCATCAAACTGTTCCCATGTCTACCCGTCAGTTGATTCTTAAAGTTGCTCTCATATTTTGATCATTTTATTTTTATGCCTCCGTAAATGAAGTTTCGGGGGTATATAGTTTTTGTCGTCTCTCTCTCTCTCTCTCTCTCTGTCTGTCTCTGTCTGTTTGTCCACAAAAACTTTAACCTTGCCCATAACTTTTGATTTAGTGGAGGTATGACTTTTATATTTCATATGTGTATTCCTTGTGACAAGACCTTTCTTTGGGTACCACAAAATTTGACTTTTGACCTTGACCTTGGAGTTTGACCCACTTTTACATGAAAATTTTAAACTTTTACTTTGGCCTTATCTTTTGAACAATAGATACCAGGACATTTGTACTTCACATATGCAATGTTTGTTGAAAGACCTTTCATTGGATACCAACAACCTTGACCCTTTGACCTTGACCTTGTAGATTTTCGTACTTGTGAAAAAACTTTAACCTTGGCCATAACTTTTGAACGGTAAGGGATAAGGCTTTCATACTTCTTATACGTAATTCTTGTGAGAAGATCCTTCATTGGATACCAAGAACTTTGACCCTTTGACCCTGACCTTTGAGATTGACCTACTTTAAAAAAGCAAACCTTGACCATAATTTTTAAAGAGTTAGGGCCAGTGCTTTCATACTTTACATATTTAATTCTTATGACAAGACCTTTCATTTGATAACAAGAACTTTGACCCTTTGACCTTGGCCTTGAAGTTTGACCTACTTTTTAAAAAAAAAATTGAACGTTGGCCATAACTTCTGAACGGTTAGGGCTAGGGCTTTCATGCTCTACTTAAGTATTCTATGTGGCAAGACCTTTCATTTGATACTAATTACATTGACCTTTTAACCTTGACCTTGGAGATTTTTGTACTTATTTAAAAACTTTAACATTGGCTTACTTTCAAATTTCACAATTGTTTTCCAGTGAAAATACCCTACTTTTGGTACCAATTAATTCAATTTGCATTTATGAAAAGCATAATCTTTGCTATGTTGCCATACGGGGGCATCAGTGTTTCACAAACACATCTTGTTTCCTATGAGTGTGCCTTGATGAAC